TCTGGATTAGCAGGTTCAGGGACAAGGAGAGCCGCCCCACTACAGGATCCCTGGCTCATCGCTGACTCAAGAAAGGTCTGCAAATAGCCAAGGAAAAGCACCGGGCTGGGATTCCACCAAAGGAGTTCTCCCTCCTACTGCCACAACTCAGCGTCCAGATACTGGGTTCATGCCTTGTGCTTGCTTCTGTCAAGGATGAAGGTTGTTACAAGCGGGTGTATTCTGGATTCTCCCCCTGTCCTCCCCCCCAGGCCCTTTTTTTTTTTATGCACATTAGGCATTCAGACCTTGTAAATTTTGCCTGGGTAGGCACTTCAAGGAACAGGAAGCTGAATGCTCAGTGATGAGAAGGGGGTGCAATGTTTCTTCAGGTTCTTAGCCTTACCATGTAGACAGACGGCTTGATCATCATGTCTAGCCTGACCTCTGTCTCAGTCCAGAAAGTTTCACCCAGTTAGTTCTATCCTTGCAATGTGAAAACTATGGCTTTGTTGTTGTTTAGGCCTACTAAACTCTAGTGGCTAATGAACACTTTAAGGAATATGCACATTTGTTCGAGATAAAACGTACTCGCTGCCCACCAAGGTGGGAGCACTCGCATATGCTCATGAGGCCCGCTGGAAAGCTAGGGAAGACTGTGTGCGTGTCTGTGTGTGTGTGAGGAGCGTTAGGTCTGACATGCTGGTCTATTTAAACAGCATGCAAAACCATCTAATGTGCATTACAGAATTACCAAGAGGCCTCAGCTGAGATCAGGGCTCTGCTGGGATAAACCTAGGCAAAAAGAGAGCTCCTGTCCCAGAGAGGTCACAGGGCAAATAGGCCGGACAGAGGGTAGGGCAAAGAGCAGCAACAGAGGAGGACTTGGCTAAGTCGCACAGTACAATACTGGGGAAAACAAGGCTCCAAATTCCTAACATAGAGCTCTACCCACTTAACTGCCAGTGCTACAATGGCACAGTTTATCACCAGGTGGAAAAATCTTTCCATTAGCTGACTGGGATCTCAAGCTACAAAACCCCCAAACACTGAGCTGTTGGCAAAAACAAAGTCCTTGCTGCCTCTCCATCTTGGAAGGCAACACAAAGGCCTGGCAACTAACTACCAAAGCCCCACAACACTTCTGCTCGCATGCAAATCACATAATATTCCCCCCCACAATTAGAATACAGCACCAGTGGACATCTTCAGGGATGGAAATGCACAACCCTGCAAGTTTGGGGAACTACAGTCCAGGGAAAACCTCAGGATTTATCATTTCTTGGGTCCAACAGTACACAGCAGACAGGTGCCCTCTCCCCAAACTCCCTTCTTATTTGATCATCTTGGAAGCAGAAAGTTGGGAGATGCAACTTTTGTGGAGCACCTTCAGCACAGATGCACCCAACTCCTCCATCCAGCCCAGAATGTGTGCCTGATGAAAGGAGAGGCTCTTCTAAAGCCTTCTGGCTCTCCCTGATAAAACCTAGTCAGACCTGGAAATGGAGGTGAAGTCTATGGTCAGAAAAGGACTTAGAAAATGATCTCACACCCATTTCTGCCCCACTGTGTCTCATTCTGTTCAGACCATACCCCTCTACTGTCTGCTTAGGAGGGTAGTAAGAGATGGTAAATGGTACACCCAAAACTCCTGCATAACTGACCTTAACCCACCCATTCCTCCAAAGCACTCAAAAAGTCTTCCCCTAAACTGGACATTTTCCATTGAATCTAGATTCTGGAAAATGTACGTATTTATCAAATTTCATGCGCTTCTCCCCTCCTCCCCCTCTTTTCCTTGATTTTTGCTGCTGAATGAAGGCTCCCCACAGCTTTCCATTTTGCTTCTTTGTTTTTCTTTTCTTCCTCTATTTTCTTTCTTTTGGTACTACTACTGTTTTTCCCCTTTTCTCCAAAATGTTTACAAAGTGAAAAAAAAATGAACCCTAAACCACCCTTTTAGCTTCTCCCTTTCTGCTGAAATATTTTTGGGAAAAAGGAGATCCATGAAAAGTTTACAAAAATCCAAATTCAATAAAAGAATGAAAATAAACTGACACACTGGATTTTTCTCCTTCTCCAAACCAGTTCATCCCACTCCCCATTTCCCCTCACCAGCCATTATACCTAGTCACCAGCCTCCTTTGTCAGAAGATGAGAACGTTTTTCTGTCTTGGGATATAGGGCTCCAACTGAGGTCCTTGAGGCTTTGAAATGTCCACACTAGTCTCTTATGGGATGGATGAACCCGAGTATTTTCCAGTTTTGGGTGCTAGAGGGAGACACTTGAAGAGAACGCGAGCCTTAAATGAGGAAATTCTTGTGTGGGACCCCAGTGCCACACACACAAGATTTGCTGGGAGCATCCAGCAGCCACAGAAGCACATTTCACTAGCAACCTGCTAGTGAAAAAAAGCCTGAAGTTCAGTCTCACATGAAGACTTTTAGGGGCAAAATCTCTCACAGCTGCACACAGTTGGGGCAGAGACCTCCTTGTTCTTCCTGATGGCAACTTCTATCCACTTGCTCCATAAGCAGTCTCAGGAATCGTGCCATCCTTAGCCAGGGAGAACTACCCGGACTGACTTTGCCACCTTGTAAGTAACGGCAATTTTCTTCTACAAAAAACTTAGAGCACTTCACATGCAGGACTCTTGCTCAGCACTTTCATTAAGAAGCTTCACATCAACTTTCATTACCTACTCTGCTACAGGAAGCAAAGGGGGACAGCTATCTCCTCCTCAAATGCAGCAGGGAAACAGCCCCCTCCCACTTCCTCCTCTGGAGGGAACCTGTGAGGCTTAATTAAAAGTTCCCCTTTGACCATGGTGAAGAAATAACCAGCTGAGGATAGACTGCTCATCTCTGGAGAACTGGGTCTAACAGCTTGCCCTCTTCCACCAGACACCCAGAGAGAAGACACTGGCCACCACCTGCTTCCTGGCCTCCACAACTTCCTCTTCCCTACTAGCTCTGCAAGAGGAACCACTGATCTGAGGGGATTTTTCCCCCCCGATTAAATAAAATTTCCCCCACATAAAAATCACTGCTGCTGACACCCAGGCTCTTCTGCCAAAAATGTGGCAAGGGCATCTACAGAGGGCTTACACCAGGGGCACCATGGGAAAGGAGGGAAGGACTAACTCTCATTACTTGCTTAATATAATAGAAGCTCTCTAAGCTCTTCAAGATGGATATTTGCTGATCTTAATCCCTCCCCACCCCTTGAGTCCGAAGAGGTAACTGGGTAAATCGTGACACATGCTCCTTACATCTAGCATGCACCGTCACTGGGGAAGGAGTACGGAAGAAGAGATGCAAGTATCACATACTCGGCAACGAGAGCTTAAAAGGAGGTTGCCCCCTTATTGGCACCCAACCCAGAGGGATGGAGGAACAAGAAGGGAAGGACTCACAGCCCAGTCAGCAAGTCCCCAGCAGATGGATTTGCCAGCAATGGAAAGGAAAGCACAAGAGGAGACAGGTAGCATAGTACTTGCCACACAGGCAAAACCAGGCCCCTCCATGCCTGGCTATTTTATGATCCACTGTTACCACTGAGTGTGCAAGAGAGCAAGCACAAGCTCTATGCTGCAGCGCCAATGCCCATTCTGAGAGCTAGACCCTGCGCGGGACCTCAGAGGAGCCCAGAAACAAAGAACATTTCTTGAACCACCCAGAGCAGCAGTTCTTGGGCACGCGGTGACATTCTCTAGTGTGGATTTGCACTGGGAATAGGATACTGGTGGTATATCAAACCTTTGGCTCACAGAAGAAGTCAATGGGATTTACTTTCCTGGAGGTTGTTTGACCCCCCTCTACACTGGACTGGATGTCAAGAGACACTGACAACAAAACCAGTGACTCCCACACATCAGCACTAGCAGGTGAACCCCTTTCTGAACATAACAAGAGAATTTCAATGGACAGGATGGCTGCCAAGAGCTGTGTCCTTCAGGTGACAAGGCAGATCAGGGAAAACCTCACAAAGCAGAGGTGAAGGAGAGAAAACAGGGCTAACAGCACTGCCTTCAGCCCCGCACCTCTCCTTCCGACACAGTTTGATAGCCATATGCCCCAGAAATGATTCCCCAGAGATTGCAAGCGATTACACTCAGATATCAGCAACTTGCAGCAGAGCAGCAACAGCCAGGAATAGATTCCAGAGCCCTGGTCCACTGGACTGCATCTCTGTCTGGTTCTGCAGCATGACCCTGGGCAAGTTGCATCCTCTTTCAATGCCTTTCTCCTCCCACCTTTTGTCCCTTTAGTTCAGGGACACATGGCCCTGCAAGCCAGATCCAGACCACAGGGCTTCTCGTGCAGTGGATGGCCTACCTCCGTACAACAGGGCAGCAGCTTGTTAATGCAGCTCCAGAGCCCAGTGTATGAAGGGCACCACTGCTTGTGGGACCCCTCTTTTACTCCTGACAACTATTTTGGTCACCTACAGTGATTGAAGACCCCAAATTCAGCAGTGGGCAGGGGGGTGCAGGGCCCAAGCAGCAGCTGCATTCATCTTCTGGGTTCAGGAGCTGTGCCAACACTGGCTCCAGCAGCTATGCTTATCAGCTGCACGGGCTATATTTTAACCACTCATGGGGCACCAGTTGGGCAGCCCTGGTCTAATCTATTTAGTCTTTAAGGAAGGGTCCATCTCTTGATGTGCATCTGTGCAGCGCCCAGAACAACAGGGCCTTGATCTCTACTGGGATCATATATATAGTTGGGGATAGTAGGACTAGATGACGTCCTGATTCAACCCTAATTTTCTATGACTTTATAACATGCGCATAAACATATAGCATAACAGCGTACAAAGGTCTCCATGTACGTGCAAACACTGGCAAGGCCCTGGACAGCAGCTCAATCAACCAGAACTAACAGAATCATCTTTTAGATGCATCCTTGGGGGTTGACAGGGCCTGCATTAGCCCCCTGGGCTAGCCAAGTGTTTTTCACTTTAAATTTTGTCTGCGCTATCTAAAACAACAGCTTTGCTCACAGATAGCAGCACTTACCTACGAGTCCAGACCCCAGGAATGGTGATGAAGATATGCTGTTGTGAGATGACAGGTCCCTGTGTTCTCCGTAATGAGGGCCTTCACCATAGTTCTGCTAAAGTAACACAAAATAGCATCATGGCACATGCGAGAGAACCAGCTAACGTACTTGACAGGTGCATCCATTTCTGCAGGGAATGAGCAGGGAGCAGAGAAGAGCCCCTAGAAAATGCCCTGTTGCCCTAGCAGCTAAGTCAGTTTGTGTTA